CTCGTTTCCGCCGTTCCCCAAATCCGCTCACGAGATCTCGAGCCTTCGCCTGCAACAGAGCCGCCGCTTCCCCAAATCCGCTCACGAGTTCTCGAGCCCTCCTCCAACGACATCAGCTCACGAATCTCGAGCCTTCGAAGGAGGAGGTCATGGGGATCTTCACCGTCATCGCCAGCGCCACCTCGAGATCCGTCGCCTTCGCCTGCAACAGAGCCATCGTCAGCCGCCACCGATCTCGAGCTCTTGTGATCTTGTTGCAGTACTTTCTTAGGTGAATACTCATACTCTTGTGATCTCGAGCTCTTGTGATCTTGTCGTCATACTGTAATCTTATGAAAATTTATGTTCTTCACGTGAGTAAATCTTCCATGTAATTATAGGCATTTAGGTGTCCCTAGCTTTGCTGGTGGAAACTGTCTTTTTAAATATTCTTCATATATCATATAGGTATAAAGTTCATAAACTTTTTCCCCTTCATCTTGATTTTGAAGAATTCACTCACTGGTTGTGGTAGTTTACAAAACGGGAGATTATATGAGAGGACTTACCTTTTTTTCTGTTTTTCTAGTCGATTACTGTCTTTGTATAAGAATACTCACTTGTGTCTATCATCCACATTGAATCACATTGAAGTAACTCAGCAGTCTTGACTTCCAAAAAATAAGTAGGAAAATGTCAGAGGAATCAAATTTTTTGCTGTTAACTATTAATGAACTCTTTATTCCCTCTTTCATGGACTTTGAGCAAAAAGCCTTCCTTAACGGCTGTTGCTTTTGCTCTAAGTCATCAGAGTACCTTGTGATCTGCTTATTTTAATTGTACACATTTTTACGTTAAATTTCATAAAACCCCATATAAGTTTGGGTGACTTTGACATAACTCAAAATAATTGGTGGGCATTTTCTTTAGTAACTACTATAACTAGAATCTAAATGATAAGTTTGTATTCCTAACCACAATTATAATACTAAGTTTGTTTTTCTTGAATTTATTTTCTTCCTTAGGAGTTCGGAATGGAGTCAGAAAATTCAACTACTGTAGAGTTCGGAATGGGAGAATCAAGTGTTATTGGAAGTGGAATTGCGGCCAATACTGTAAATCATCCTAAACCACTACTTGGAATGAAGTTTAATAGTTATTAAGAAGCTTATAACTATTATAACTCTTATGCATTGTTGATGGGTTTTGGAATAAGGAAGAGCACGGTAAATTACTCTCGCAAAACTAGAGAAGTGGTAGACAGAAAGTTTGTTTGTGATAAGGAGGGCTATAAATCTAATAGAGACAAGATAGAGATCTCTCTTTGGCGAGAGACGCAAGTGGGATGTAAGGCAATGATGCGAGTTAAATTATTGGAGGACAAATCGTGGGAGGTCACGGGGTTTGTTGAAGAACATATTGTTGGACCCTAGAGGGGGGGTGATTAGGGTCAAGAGGCTCTAATATGCAATTAAAAAAACAGTACAAGCAAAACACAAAACAGAAATGTGATAAAAGAAAGAGAGATAGAGTTATCTCGAGGAGAAATCCACTATCCACCCGGTTTGGAAGCCGGAACTTCGTCTACACAGCGATCTCCACAGATCTCTCTCACAACACAGTTTGATCTCAACAGATCACACCCTCACAGTAGATCTTACACAAGATCTCAACCTCACAACAGAAGAACAGATGCAAGAACCTCTCTTTACACAGCCCCTATAGCAAAGAGTAGGTTTACAGAAGCTGGGAAGTGAAACACACTTAAAACAGAGAGAAAAAAACAGGATTTGAAAATTTATCTCAGGAAGCAGAAAGTTCTCTCTGGTTTTCAAACGTTAGGGCTAAGGAAGAAGAAGAGGTCTGGGGGTTTATATAGAAAAGTTTAAATCATTTTAAAACAAAAACAAATCTTCCCAAATGAGATAATAATCTCTTCTTCAGACCCTCATCACAGACTGTGCCAATCACTAACAAGTGAAAGCACAGTGTTCGATGTAAATGACCGTTTAAAAAAGTCGCGGCTGACCAGAGGCAAAAATCGGTTGACCGAAGGAAATTTCGGTCGACCGAAAAATACCTTCGGTCGACCGACCGAAAAATTCGGTCGACCGCGAGCAGCTAAGGAAAATATGGAAAACAAGCAGAGACTCATCGGTCGACCGGCGCGGTCGACCGATTTAAAGATCGAAATTTCGGTCGACCGTACCGGTCAAAGTCGCGGCTGACCAGAGGCAAAAATCGGTTGACCGAAGGAAATTTCGGTCGATCGAAAAATACCTTCGGTCGACCGACCGAAAAATTCGGTCGACCGCGAGCAGCTAAGGAAATATGGTAAAACACGCAGAAACTCATCGGTCGACCGGAGCGGGCGACCGATTTAAAGATCGAAATTTCGGTCGACCGTACCGGTCAACCGACGACTCTCTGGAAAAATACTGACGAATCATAGGATCGGTCGACCGGGCCGGTCGACCGATTTCTGATATTTTCCAGAAAACAGATTTTTGACCAACTTGAAATATTTGCAAAATATTTATTTGACCTCTGAAAATTCTGAAACTTTGTAAAATGTTTTTAATACTAAAAACAAACTGCTTGGAAAAGGAATTTTGCAGATAGGTACTCATACTTGTGAAAAATAGTATTTTGAGAAAAAACGCTTAAAAGCACAAGTCTAAAAACGTGTGTGTGATTCCCAATAGCTTCAAGTAAACTCAGTAACTCTTTGCCTACATTCTAGCACTAGAGAGAAAAACAAAAGAAAGCTAATATCCTCATATAGAGAGCAATATACTTGAGCTTTGATATAGCTTGAATCGGATGAAGCTTTTAATAGAATTTGTCGTTCTTGAAATAATGTTGCTTCATCTCTTGGCCTCCTCCTCCTTTGGATATCTTCGTTGTAGCATATATTCCATCCATCCTCCATTAATGGCACTAACGAGCTTGACAAATGAGTTTACTACATTTACACTCAATAAGCCATTAGTACCGATAATGGTGGTTGTAAGAACATCATCAAAACATAAGGGCTAACAATCTCCCCCTTTTTGATGATGACAACCAACCATTATATAAGAGCAAAAATAAGATAGCTTATAGATAGGTGCTCCCCCTATCTATGAGCTCCCCCTAAATATATGCAACAAATGAGGAGATTTCTCTCCCCCTTTGTCACCATCAAAAATGGGGTAAAGAGAAATACTAAATGCAAAATACAACTAGTCAAGCAAACAATGTAGAACTTTCACATAGTGCATAAGCCCAAACCATTTCTTATGCGACAAAAATCATCCTCTCCAAGAGGCTTAGTAAATATATCCGCTAGTTGAGATTTGGTGTCAACAAATACTAGGGATACATCTTGTCTCTCTACATGATCGCGTAAGAAATGATGGCGCACGTCAATATGCTTAGTTCTAGAATGCAAAACCGAATTTTTGGAAATATTTATGGCACTTGTGTTATCACAAAAGATTTTAATATTTTGAAAATTCAAATCATAGTCAACTAAACTTTGTTTCATCCATAAAACTTGAGCACAACATAGGCCGGCGGCAATGTATTCCGCTTCCGTAGTGGACAATGCAACACAATTTTGTTTCTTGGAAGCCCAAGAAACAAGGGAATTTCCTAAGAATTGGCATGTTCCACTAGTACTCTTGCGATCTACCTTACATCCGGCAAAGTCGGCATCACAAAAACCATATAAATCAAAAGTGGTGCTTTTTGGATAAAACAAACCAAGGTTAAAAGTTCCATTAACATACTTAATGATCCTTTTAACCGCAATTAAATGAGATGCTTTTGGAGAAGCTTGAAAACGTGCACATGCACATACACTAAACATGATGTCGGGTCTACTAGCGGTGAGATAAAGAAGACTACCTATCATACCTCGGTATAGTTTTTGGTCCACATCTTCACCACTCTCATCCGCATCAAGCTTAACACTAGTACTCATGGGAGTAGGCGCATGCTTAGAATTCTCCAACTTAAATTTCTTCACCAATTCCTTCGCATACTTGCTTTGTGAAATGAAGATCCCATCCTTAGTTTGCTTGACTTGGAGCCCGAGAAAGAATGTAAGCTCTCCCATCATACTCATCTCAAAGTGATCCTGCATAACTTTAGAAAATTCCTTGCACAAGGATTCATTAGTAGCACCAAAAATAATGTCATCCACATATATTTGAACCAAAATGAAATCATTTTTCCTTTTTCTCACAAAAAGTGTGTTATCAATTGTTCCTTTTGAAAAACCATTTTCAATAAGAAAACTAGAGAGGCGAGCATACCAAGCCCTAGGAGCTTGTTTCAACCCATATAAAGCTTTTTGTACCCGGTAAACATGATTAGGAAAAGCATGATCTATAAAACCGGGGGGTTGCTCAACATACACTTCCTCTTCTATAAAACCATTTAAGAAAGCACTTTTGACATCCATTTGAAATAGTTTGAAATTTTTAAAACTAGCAAATGCCAAAAACATCCTAATAGATTCCAACCTTGCAACCGGTGCAAAGGTTTCATCATAGTCTATGCCCTCCTCTTGATTGTATCCTTGGGCAACCAAACGTGCTTTATTTCTAGTTACAATGCCATGTTCATCAAGTTTGTTTCTAAAAACCCATTTTGTACCAATAACACTAGCATTGTTAGGTCTAGGAACTAACTTCCAAACTTCATTTCTTTGAAAATTGTTTAATTCTTCATGCATAGCCAAAACCCAAAACTCATCATTTAAAGCATCATTAACCTTTTTAGGTTCTAGTTGAGATAGAAATGCAACATTACCACATTCACTCAAGGCTTTTGAGCGAGTTATAACTCCTTTTGAAGGGCTCCCAATGATTTGTTCCTTTGGATGATTTTTCCTTAGCTGCTCGCGGTCGACCGAATTTTTCGGTCGGTCGACCGAAGGTATTTTTCGATCGACCGAAATTTCCTTCGGTCAACCGATTTTTGCCTCTGGTCAGCCGCGACTTTTTTAAACGGTCATTTACATCGAACACTGTGCTTTCACTTGTTTTCCTTAGCTGCTCGCGGTCGACCGAATTTTTCGGTCGGTTGACCGAAGGCATTTTTCGGTCGACCGAAATTTCCTTCGGTCAACCGATTTTTGCCTCTGGTCAGCCGCGACTTTTTTAAACGGTCATTTACATCGTTTACTGTGCTTTCACTTGTTAGTGATTGGCACAGTCTGTGATGAGGGTCTGAAGAAGAGATTATTATCTCATTTGGGAAGATTGGGTTTTGTTTTAAAATGATTTAAACTTTTCTATAAAAACCCCCCAGACCTCTTCTTCTTCCTTAGCCCTAACGTTTGAAAACCAGAGAGAACTTTCTGCTTCCTGAGATAAATTTTCAAATCCTGTTTTTTTCTCTCTGTTTTAAGTGTGTTTCACTTCCCAGCTTCTGTAAACCTACTCTTTGCTATAGGGGCTGTGTAAAGAGAGGTTCTTGCATCTGTTCTTCTGTTGTGAGGTTGAGATCTTGTGTAAGATCTACTGTGAGGGTGTGATCTGTTGAGATCAAACTGTGTTGTGAGAGAGATCTGTGGAGATCACTGTGTAGACGAAGTTCCGGCTTCCAAACCGGGTGGATAGTGGATTTCTCCTCGAGAGTGGGGAGCGGGGACGTAGGCCAGAGGGCCGAACCTCGTTAACACATCGCGCGTCAAGGATAACGAACTCCTAACTCTATCTCTCTTTCTTTTATCGCATTTCTGTTTTGTGTTTTGCTTGTACTGTTTTTTTAATTGCATATTAGAGCCTCTTGACCCTAATCACCCCCCCTCTAGGGTCCAACACATATAAATCATGTGTTGAGTAGTCCAGACAAAGCAAAAATGCACAGATCACATCAACAATTCCATAAAACTCAAAGATGTAAAAAACTTATTGATAGTCTGCGAGAAGAAGGTATGCCTCCTTCTACTATTTCTCGCTTCATCAATGCAACTAATGGAAGAGAAGGTGAAATAGTAACACCACAACAATGCATTGATCATATCAGAACCCAAAGAGTCAACAATATTGGTCATGAATGCATATCTATCATTTGTTATTTTCAGAGTATGACAGCGAATGATCCAGAATTTTATTTTGCAATAGAAGTGGACAGTAGTGGACAAATGAGGAGTGTTTTCTGGGCCGATGGAAGATCAAGAGCTTCTTATTTGCAATTCAGTGATGTTATTGTGTTTGATGTGACATACAGAACTAATAAGCTCAGTCTTCCATTTTCTCCATTTACTGGTGTAAATCACCATAGGCAGTCTATTTTACTTGGTTGTGCATTATTAGCCGATGAACATGAAGATACCTTTGTGTGGTTATTTCAAGAATGGCTGAAATGCATGCATGGTGTTGAACCAGGTGCTATTATAATAGATCAGGATAGAGCAATGTGTAATGCTATTCACTCAGTGTTTCCAACAACATGACACCGTTATTGCTATTGGCACATGCAAAAGCATATTATGGATCATTTGCCTACTTTGGGGTCTCGTTATGGTGAACAGTTTCAAAGGTATTGGGGCTTGTGGTATAATAGTGCTTCAATTGAACAATGTGAAGAATATTGGCTTGAGATGAAGGAGAAGTTTGATATAAATGAAGAAGGTGAGGGATGGTTACAAACAATTTACAAATGTCGAGAACACTGGGTGCCATGTTATCTGAAGGACACTTTTTTGGCTGGAATGAGATCGAGCCAAAGGAGTGAAAGTGTTAATGCATTTTTGATGGGTATGTTAACTCGCAGACTCAATTATACGAGTTTGTGACACAATATGAAAAAGCAGTAACTCATCGTCGCTTAAGTGAAGCCCATGAAGATTTTAAGAGTCTTAACACAAAGCCTATCATGCTCCTTGGACATCCAATTAAGGTCCAAGCTGGAGAAATGTATACACGCAATATGTTTGATGTATTCCAAACTGAATTCAAAGGATTTGGTACAGAGTTTTTTGAAGAATTAAGAAAAGATGGGGACATTGTTGAATACAAGATCTGTAAGTTTACAGATAGAGGAAAATGGGAGGTGGTTACTTATGAACAATCTAGTCATATGCAGTTCCGTTGCACTTGTGCTTTGTTTGAAACTAATGGTGTTGTATGTAGACATATATTGTCGTTAATGATGGCTAGGCAGATGGATTCATTACCCAACCATTACATCCTACACCGTTGGACTATACATGCTCGACATCGTAACATTGGAGTTGGCAACATTATATTTGGAAGAAACATCACACGCTGTGAAGAGAAGATTAATTTATTGAAATCTTGGGCTTTAAGAGCAAAATTCAATAATGCGCTCAAGCTTGCATTTGTTTCAGAAGAGAAGATGCAAAAACTAGATGATGTGCTAACAAATTTCATAGAATCACTGGAAGAAGAAGTTGGAGAAACTCAAGATCAAATGGTGGATATTCCTCAAATTTCCGCACCCATCTCACATACAATGGAGCACATTCCTCAGATTACAGTTCGTGATCCTGATAGACCTGCAAGGACTAAAGGTCGTCCACGCAATGCTACTAGAATCCAGTCAGGTTTAGAACAAGCATAAGAAAAGAAAGAAAGGAAGAAACGTATATGTAGCAGATGTGGTGAACTCGGGCATTATAGAACTAGCTACGTATATGTAGCAGATGTGGTGAACTCGGGCATTATAGAACTAGCTGTAAAGTCAACTTGCCAAGGTATAATTAATATTTTTTCATGAAACTTTTTTTGTTTGATTAAATTCTCAGTAATGACTATTTTGTAATGTTTTTTGCAGCTAAATTCTCGGTAATGATTAAAATTTTCTCGGTAATGAAGGGCTTAATATTTTTGAGGTAATGATTTGCAGCATATGTTTACACATATGTGAAGGGCTGAATATAGTTTAATGTGCTCAATTCTCGGTAATGATTAAAATTTCTTCTCTTTTATGCAGCTATCTTGTAAAATCTGAGTGAATAGCATCAATGGTGGGTGGTTGGAACACAGGTTGAGCATTCTCTTTTATGCAGCTATCTTGTAATGTGATTTGAGCTTATATTCAGCTACTTCGGTTGTAACTTTGGAGGTTAAGTCTGTCTTTGATGAAACTCTGTTTGATGTTGTAACTCATGATGTAACTCTGTTTGATGCTTGTAGCTTTGATGTGGCTTATATTCAACTACTTTGGTTGTAGCTCAATTCTCTTTTATGCAGCTATCTTGTAATGTGATTTGAGCTTATATGCAGCTATCTTGTAATGATTATTCAGCTACTTTGGTTGCATCTGTTTCTTATGATATGAGCTTATATGATTTGCAGCTCAATCCTGATGTTTCAGCAGGGTTTTAGAAGCATTTTTGATAGCAGTATGGTCAACAAATCCATCATATTTGAGAGCAAATATGTCTTGGTGCATAAATATTTTTGATAGTAGTATACGTCCATATACCTGTTACTTGTAAATGCAAGTTTCTTAGTGGGGGTAGTTACATGTGGAGTGATTGTTGCTGGATTTAATCACAAGGCTAAATTGTTTTGGCATATGCTCTCTTGTATATACGTCCATATTCTTTTTTTTTTTTTTTTGGTTGTGAAATTAATCACAAGGCTGATTATGGCCAAAGCTATGAATATTTGAGATGTAATCCAATTCCAGTCATAATAAGTTTGAAAGCATAATGAAGTTATATCATACCCCCATATCATTAAGGGTGAGAATGTGTGATACTGGGACTTGAAGCATACTTGAGATTCCAGTGCCTCGATCATGTCAAAACTAGAAGGCTGGGCTCTCAATAAGCTCCCAGGATGTTTAGCATCTACAAAATCCCGGGTATGGCTTCAACCGGAAACAAAATGCTGCATGATCATTCCTTCACTAAGATCCTCATGCTTGAAAGAACCTGTGTTCTAACTGCAAATATTGATAGTAAACAACTAACCAAATACATGGTTTCGTTGAACATTGGACATTTGACAGTCTCCCCATGAAAAAGATACATGGTTTCAGCCCCACTATTCAATCTTACTTCCACAGTCTCCCCATGAAAAAGATACATGGTTTCAGCCCCACTATTCAATCTTACTTCCACATCAACCAAAATTTCAACTTTAAACTGCATCAAGTCTTACTTCCACATCAACCAAAATTTCAACTTTAAACTGCATCAAGTAGGACAAAACCAAACATCAATTTCACCAGCAAACAACAAAAACCATCAAAATGGTCTCATCTGAACGAGTCCAGACTTTGCGAGTATAAAACAAATTACTATTCTAATTTGTCTGAAGATACAAATCCAGAACACTAGAAGTTCTCATCAACATACACTTCCACAAAGAAAGATAATACATTCTTACACTCTACTTAGCACAAATCCAATAAAAATACCAAATACAAATCCAAGAAAAATACCAAATAAAAGAGCAAATACAACAAGCTTCAACAAATCCATAATATCAATCTCAATCTTTCTCTTTTCCCGCAATTCTCCACTTGACACGGCTCTTGAAACTTGCGGCCTCACGCTCGACAGCTTTGTCTGAACAAGCCCTGTCTTTGAACCTTCAAACTCCTCTTCATCAGATACCCATTTGAAGAATCCACAATTACTCACTTTTCAATTAGCGCATCCCAAAAGCAATCGACCAGGGTTCGTCTTAGTTCCAGATCTAGAGAGTATAGCCCTCCTTTCACAATGGCACAACAGTCCATGACGATTGCTTGAAGATGACTCCATGATTCACGGCTACAGATACAAAAGTTTGCATATTCATCGCAATTGAAAAATAATAATTGACAAAAAATTTGAACTACAAGGGTTTGTCCCTTTTTCTTGCTTGGAATTCTAACCGTGATCAATGACTAACGAAGCGAACATTTCACTTTTCTCACAGCAAGTCACAGCATACCCAGTAGAACAAAGTCAAAACTTGGCCCCTTTCAAAAGTTACCAACTTTAACTATCATATAACGTAAATTTTGATCAGCCAGAATGTGACATGATAATGAACATTTCAGGAAACATATATCAAAGATAAACTTTGCCAAAAACTAATATCTGAGAATGACATTATAGGAACAAAAAAACAACTGACATAGTCCTCGTAATACTTCAGTAACCACCAATGAATTTATGAACCTAGTTATCTAACCACTAACTCAATCCAAAACCACTACATAATCCATCAAATAATTAAAATAAGCAGATCAATGTGAAGAATATTGGCCGATAAGAGAAAGACCAGGTTTCATAAGAGAAAGACCTTGTAACTTGCTTTAGAATATGTGTAAAATTCATTATATTCTGGTTCATATTCAGTCTTTATATCGTTTACTCTTTATTGTTTAATAGCTGCATTATATCTTCTACGCTTCATTGTTCAATAGTTTATGGACCGCCGTGGATTTTATCATTGGGTCAGATGCATGTTTCAGAAATGTAAAGAGTTTGAAACATTAGAAATGAGAATCAACATGTTTGAGAGTTTAAATTTTCCTCAGTTCTATTTCAAACCTCTCAAGGAGTTGCAATTTTATTAGTATGACCCACAAGACAACCTTGTTCCTCAGTTCTATTTCAAACCTCTCAAGGAGTTGCAATTTTATTAGTATGACCCACAAGACAACCTTGGATTATTTCCGAGAAGCTGCAAAATTCCGCCAATGAACAGAAAACTACTTGCCTCACTTACCTTTCTATGCAATGTTGCTATAACCTACATATTCCTTCATGTATCCTGTTGGGCTCTTATCAAGTTACAAAAGAAAACAAGAAGAGTTGGCTCCTGTGTCAGGTTGGTGGTTTCAATAATCCAGAAGACAATTGCAAACCATGTTATAAGTTAATCAGGATGTCTAGTCATAAGATTTTTTTAAAATAATAAATCTCATCATGAAGCTTAAACTCAAGTATCCTCTTCTGTAAGAGACCCACAAGACAATCTGGTCTTCTGTAAGAGAAAGACAAGGTTTCATAAGAGAAAGACCTTGTTATCAAACAACTAACTCAATCCAACTAACAGAAATTATTATTGGGTTTTTATTGGGATGGGATTTCACCTGAGAGAGGATAGCTCAGAGCGAGGAGGACGGAGGAGGATGAGTGGATCTAGCTCACGAACTCTGGCTCAGGACGACGAGATCAGCACCAGATCGACGACGAGATCAGCTCGACGGCGAGATCAGCTTCAAATCGACGGCGAGATCAGCAGCACGACGACGAGATCAGCAGCACGACGAGCTGAGTGATGACGACGAGACCGAGGGAGGATGAGGACGAGTCCGAGCGAGGATGACGACGAGAATGATGACGGCGAGATCAGCAGCACGACGTTCGAGAAAGCGGCGGCTCAGAAGGATGATCTCGTCGGAGGAGGCTGCAAGCAGATTTGGGAAAGTGTGAGAGATTAAGAGGAGGGCTGATCTCGTCGAGGAGAAAGCGCGGCGTCAGATTCGTGAGCGGATTGGGAGAGATTGAGAGGAAATGTGAGAGAGAATGAATCGGATTTGGGGAAATTTTTGAAGTCACGACTGCTGAAAACACGGTGTTCTTTTTCGTAAAACCCCCTCAGGCGCAAAGAAGAAGCCAACGCTGGCAGTGGCATACACAGTTTCCACTCTCTCTCTCTATATATATAGTTCAAATTGGGGGGAGCCACATTCAACCCATGGAATGTGGTCCGCCCATCATTTGAATGAGTGGGAGGATAAATATGCCATCTCAGCTACCAAGTATAAATTTTGTGGCTTTTGTACCGAAGGCATACCACATAATTCCTCTATATATATAATATGTATAATATACTATACAGTGCATTTCGAGTGCGCACTGTGCTACGGCACTTTTGAGCTCGAGTGGGCTGTTCAACACAGCTCGCACGTTTTGAAAAATCTAACAGAGAATTAAAAGCTCGTGTTGAGCCCTGAACCGGGTTTTTCTGCAAAAAATAAGCTAGCATTAAGGCACTGTGATAAAATTAATGTCTTCAGCTAATCATTTCTCTCTCTCGCTAGCCCCAAGCCCCGACCCTTTTAATAACCTCATCGCCGTCTTCCCCAACCAAAGTCTCTCTCCCTCATACTCGGCCGTCTACCCTCAAATTCTCAGCAACGTCTACCGCCCAAATACCCCCAGCGGAGCGAGCAGTCTGGCCCAATCAAGCCGCCCCCCGAGCGCCATTGATTCTGTATCTCGCCGTCGCCCATCCACATCGCTCGTCAACGACTTACGAGGATCACGTCGATCTCGCCGTCAGCCCCTAAAACCTAGCCCATTGAGTTCGTCGATCTCGCCGTCAGCCCCAAATCAGTTCAGTCGTCGGATCTCGCCGTCAGCCCCAAACCGACGCCGACCACGCACAGTTCCCCAACTCAGGTAACGATCAAGCCCCAAATTTCTCCTACCTATTATCTGTTATTTTTTTGTAGTTTATCGGTTATTTTTGTTTTTGCTGAACTGAGCTGAGCTGAGCTTGTCAAAAAAATCCTCTTGGCTGAACTGAGCCTGTCAAAAAAAATTTTGTTTTTGCTGGAATAATTGATGCTTAAAAAGTAGGAAACCAAATCTAAAATATGAATACGGTGCATTAGTATTTCATCGCTTATGTGCATTTTTTATAGGTCAATTAAAATTAAAATTTTTATAGGTCAATTAGTTTACAAAATTAGTTTACAAAATTAGATATACAGTGCCTTTTTTATAGGTCAATTAAAATTAAAAATTTTATAGGTCAATTAGTTTACAAAATTAGTTCCCAAAATTTGATATACAGTGCATTTTTTATAGGTCAATTAAATTTTTTTATGAGAAATGGAAAACTTGGACACTGAAGCAAATGAATTAAACTTGGATGACGATATTTCGACATATACTCCTCAAGTATCAGATGAGTTGAGGCCAAAAAAAGGGCAAGAATTTAACACAATAGATGATGTTGTAACATTCTACAATGCTTATGCTAAAGCAGCTGGGTTTAGTGTAAGGGCTTGGACTACTCAAAAAGAGCCGGGAAGTGGTGAAATAAGAAGGAAGGAGTATGTTTGTTTTAAACAAGGAAAATCTTCAAGAATCGCGGATGTTGGAAATAAAAGACGTCGAGGAAGCGTAGCTGAAGATTGTCATGCCAAAATTGCAGTTTTAAAATTAATCTCTGGAAAATACATTGTTACTATTTTTAAAGAGGAGCATAGTCATCCGCTATCAACACCATCAAAGGTTCATCTTTAAAGGTCTCACTGACACATTTCTGCCGCAACAAAGTCTTTAACTAAACAGTTATCAATGGTGAATATACCTCAGCATCAACAATTCAGTTTTCTTGGAGTACAATCTGGAGGTATAGAAAATATTGGGTGCACTCAAAGAGATTTATATAATCATGAAAGGGATATACGGGCTGACTCGAAGGGGCATGATGGTCAAATGTTTTATGAGTATTTAAAACTGGAACAAGGAAAGAATCCCGGATTTACTTTTCAAATTGAGGCCGATGAGGAACAAAAGATTACTCGTTGTTTTTGGTCCGATGCAAGTTCAAGGCGGGCTTACAATTTCTTCGGTGATGTTGTAATCTTTGATACTACATATAATACTAATCGCTATGGCCTGATATTTGCACCAATAATGGGGGTTAACAATCATGGTCAAACAGTTGTTTTTGCTTGTGGATTTTTGAATCATGAGAGCGTTGATGATTTTGTATGGTTATTTAATAAATTTTTGGAAAGTATGCCTCGTGGTGCCCCGAAGATGATTATTACTGATCAAGACCCAACTATGACAAAGGCATTCCCTCATGTTCTTCCAAATACTTTTCACAGGAGCAAATGGTTGATATTTACACTAATGAGATGTATTACAAGTTTGAGGCTGAAGTGTGTGACAGCTTTAACTACAAGTTACAGTTTGTTAGGGAAACCGACAATCGCCGTGTGTATCAAATTCAAAGAAAGAAGCTTGCAACCATTGTTTTAAATATCCCCGACATGACCCGATATATCCCCCGATATATCCTTTTACAGGGCTTGCCGCAACCGATATGGTCTTTAAATATCCTTTACCGCTTTTTAGCTATTTTGAGTGATAAATTCCCGATATGACCGATGTATTAGCCAATATGTGGACCAATTTATCTTTTTATAAGCTTGTTGCAAAATAATATACCGTGTTTGGAATTTTTGGGCGAGATATCAAGATTTTCCCATTATATCAAATGACATTTTGCCCTAAAAAAACAGATCGAATGTTACAACGTTGCTTTGCAGTTTTGTTTGTTTTAGAAGGTTGATTAGTGATCCTAAACATATATTATTCATGTTTTGTATGCTTAAATTTCATTACATATGTTGAGATTACATTTTAATGCATTATACTATGTATGCAAACATTCATTATGGCATTCCGATATTTCCCCCATATCCCCGATATTTCCCCGATATCCGCAATCCGATATGAATTTTGACCATCCGATATTTCCCCGATATCCGATATTTAAAACCTTGCTTGCAACAAGCAAAGTCTGCGAAATCGTTTACGACAAGCAGTTGGATTTGGTTTCTTGTAGTTGTAAAAAGTTTGAAAGCGACGGAATCGTATGTACTCACATTATCTCTTATTTGATGAAATTTGATGTTGAAATATTGCCCGATAAATACATCTTATTGAGGTGGACTAAGTCTGCAAAATCGGGGACAGTTCATGATGATAAAGGCATGCAGATAACCCCTGATAATCCTTATCTTTTAACGCGGAGTCAATTTATCCAATCATCTTTGGATTTAGTTGACAAGTCCCTCGTATATGAAGAAACAAGGGAGATGTTTACCGATGGATTGCGTATCATTAATGAGCAAATTGATCAATTTCTTAGTAGCCACATGGCTGTAATGAGCTTCACTGAGAAAAGTAATCCAATATGTAGTAAGATAATTACTGAGGGGACTAGTGCTCATGGTTCTTGTAGTTATGAAAATAGTTTCAATGAACCTGATCAAGTGCGAGCAAAAGGGTGCGGCAAAAGGTTGAAAGGAGGAAAAGAGAAAGCAATGACTAGAGCCAAAAATAAAAAAGATAGACGTTGTCACGGGTGTGGTAAAGTAGGCCAATCACATGATAAGCGAAATTGTCCGGCACTCACAAATCCGTAAGTAATAATTCTTTTATTATTTATGTTGTCTTATTTTTCACATTCTAGTATCCTTCTTGATGTATATATGTATGGATATTTTAATATAATGTAGGTTTTCTACATGCGGTGATACAAATTTGCAAGAGGGTAATGAGTCATCAAGTGAAGATGTGGATCTTTTTGAAGATTAAGAGGGTAATGGTCCTGTATATGCTTTTGATTTGTGATGTAAGTAGTCTTTTACCTCTTTTTTCCCTCGCTTGATTTCATGCAGGGATTTGCTAACTTACTTCAATAATACTAATTTTTTAAATAATTACCTAACTTACTTCAAAAGCTTATATGTTTCTCAAACTGATTTCTGTTGTTTGAATCAGGAGCTTGAATCAGGAGCTTATGAATCAGGAGCTTGAATGAGGAGTGTGTTAAATAGGAGCTTGAATCAGGAGTGGTCTGATTATTGTCAACATTTAACTACCTAGTTGTTTATGTTTGATTGCAATGTATTGTAATGTGTACTGATTTTTCTGCTGGGACTTGAGTTGTAAACATGCAAGTTATGGTGTTGCTGAATTTTCTGTTGGGACTTGAGTTGTAAACATGCAAATGAATTATGGTGTTGCTAGAACTTCACGTTGTGTCTGTAGATTTTATGAAACAGACCTTCTATCAGATTTGTTTGCACTTCGATATCATTTTTTGATCAATTATGACCTTCTATCAGATTTGTTTTTATGCACCTGCCAGTGGTCTTCTGTCCTGGATATGTTATTACAAGCTGGCAATGGTGTTTTCAGATGGTGAATTGTCATAATTCCTAGTGTAATGCTTCTTGCAGTCTATGAACTTTGTCTGATGGTCAAATCTCGAGAAACTATCATAAACTTTGTCTGATTTGGTTTCGGTTTGTAGATGAAGTGAGAGGGTTCGGTGGCTTATTTACAGGCTGCGTGTTCCTGTTCGAATCTGTATAGGAGTAGGAATCCTAAAAATAGATAGATCTCAAAATAGCGATAGTATCGAACACGGAGTTAAACGTGAACCAAAGGGGACTTATGGAAGTTTGTTCAATTATGATTTCTTTGCTGGTATGCATTCAATTTTTTCACAGAAGAATTTGAGTAGTGATAAGCGTACACAAGAATTATATTTAATCTTGAACCATTAGACACACCCAAAAAAAACACTTTCTGTAAACTGAAGATCGGGCATGGGCGGGTACGACTGATCTCAATCCGTTGCTTAAATTGTTCATCAAAGAGTTGTCTTCTCTTCGTGTAACCAGGTTCATGAGTTCTAGATGTGAAAAATCAGTTACATTGTAAGCTCATCAACTCAATGACACAAATTATGCAAGTTTAACATATACTGCTCCTTTCATCCAATTATGGACCAAAGAAAAAAAACCAAATAAAAAATTAACAAAGATTGTTTCATTCCAACACATCACGGTTATTTCGACACAAAAAGCAAAAATTAACAAACTTGTTTCATTCCAACACATCAAAGCGTGAAGCATTACAAAATACCGATTCCAACACATCACATAATTTCTTTCATGGCCAAAGAAAAAGACAACAAAAAAGCTATAACAGTTAACCATTTCCACAACACTTTTTCACGTACAACAACCACGTCACGCGCCTCTGGTGGGGCAATGACGAGTGGTATTTGTTCAACTGATGAAATCTTGCACCAGTCCAAAAACGAGCCGCACTTTTGCCTTTTACACGAGTAGTAAATTCTACCACGGTTATTGTTCTTGTTCGACTTCGTTATCTTCACATCCGCTAATTCACCACACTCGCATTGTTTCAATATGAATATAATATCAACTGACCCATACGATTGCAATTTGTGTAATGTAGAGGTTTGAATGGTTTACGTTGACCGAAATGGAATGCACGTGGTTCATTTGCAAAAATAGATTTTCCTTTGTAATTATTTTGCAAACGAGAATTTCTTTTCAAATCGAAACAAAACATGGCCAAATGACCAAAACGACCACAATAATCACATTTATACACATGAGCATGTTTATGATTTACACTATGTGTGTGTACATGTGTATGTGATGAAGAAGCTTGATGGGATGCACAATCATGTGTAGGCTTGTCAATTTTTGGTGCATTATGACAAAATTGAGCTAAATGGCCTTTAAGACCGCAAATAGAACATTTGTGAATTTTGTCATACATATGTGCATAGTGAATAGGTTTCTTGGAAGAATTAACATTAACCTTTGCACATAAGTCCATAAGCTTTTTATTATTAGCAATACAAGTATTTAGTGTTGAATCTAAGGTAGATATTCTTTTTCTCATTTGATTCAACTCATCATTGTGCATACAAGCATTGCTATTAGAAGTAGGATAAACAAGATTACTCATCATAGATTTTAACTTATCTACTTCTAACATAGCATCACGTTTTTCATGAAGCAAACTAGCGTTTTCAGTTTTCAAATTTTCATTGCATTCTTTAAGAATTTTATTTTCATTTGTAATAAAATTAAACTTAATAGCTAGTGTTTCATGAGTGGATTTTAAATTAACATACTTACTCTTTACATTAATATAGCAATTGTGTAATTTTTCAAATTCAAGAGCAAGTTCATCAAAGGTAATAATATCATCGTTATCGCATACCTCACTAGGGTTATCACCTAGTGGTAATGTACATGGGGATGAGGCTTCCTTAGGACTCAAAGCAAGATTTTCCAATGCTTGTTGAATAGCCTCCAATTTCCCTTCATGTGCTTCAATAAATTTCCATAAAGCGTGAGCACTATCAAAATTAGCAAATTTGTTAGAAAACGATGAGTGAAAGGCACTAATCAAATATTCTAACAAAAGTTTGTTCATGTTAAACAATCTTTTATCATTATCACACCATTTGGATTTTTCCAAGGTGGGAACAACGTAGGCATCCTCAATAATTTCCCATAAATCAAATTGATTAGATTGAACAAAAAGTTTGAATCTAATACGCCATTGAGCATAGGGAAAAGTATCCAAACGAGGAGCAACATTAATAGCATATCCTAAACAAGATGAATCATACATATCCATAGAGATAGAATGCAAGAAGTACAATATAATTAAAATATATATATATATATATATATATATATATATATATATATATATATATATATATATATGTGTGTTAGACCCTAGAGGGGGGTGATTAAGGTCTTATGCTAATCTAATCCCAATTAAAAGCTAATTAAAATTATATAGATCAATATGTTCTTGCAAGAGATAGATATGAACAATAAGAACAATAAGAATATGCACAAATAAAATATGAGACAAGAAAAACACAAACACACGATATGTTTACGAGGTTCGGTCCCCACGACCTACGTCCCCGCTCCTCACCTCGAGGAGATATCCACTATCACAATCCGGTTTGGAAGCCGGAACTTCTACACACTCGGTTTACAAGTTCACCGAAAACTCTCACACTACACAATCACTCAACAATCACACTTTACACACTAAGTGTAGGAATCTAGCCCGTGTCCTCCTCCTCAAGTTCTCGATTACAACCTCTCCCTAGGTTCGTCAATCGACGCCACTCCTATTGGATTTGACCCCGTCTCTCTTTCCTCACACTTCTCTCGGTGTACAAGTGTATTACAGGTGATTCACACAAATAAAAGTTAAATACAATGATTTGTTCTCAATTTACAAGTGAGAACACAATAAAGCTCACACTCACTAAATCCCACACTACAACCCACAATATATAATATGAGAATATCAAGCTCAATAAGTGTGTGTGATAATAGTGAATGAAAATAAATATAACTCAATGAATATAGCTTAATCAAATGAAAGTGAAATAATAAGCTATATAGGAAAGAGTTTAGAAGACTTCTCAATAAACAAGAAGAGTTGAGGAAATGGTGATCTCAATAAGATTTGAAGGCCTCTTCTTGTTGTAGAAAACTTCTCTTGAAAAACTGATTAGCGAAACCAACTCTTAAACAGCTCTTAAACGCGATTAATATTTTGTTAAACAACAAACTTGGATTTCTTGGATGTTAGAGAAGAAGAGCAGCAATGGAGTATATATAGCACCCCAATACAACAGCTAGAAATAAGTAAAAGACCAAAAAGTCCATTTGAAAAACTAGCCGTTAGGCTCATTTTGACAACTCGTCGGTCGACCGGTACGGTCGACCGATTAGTTCAAAAACCCAGAGAAACGAAGTATTAAAGCTGGCGGTCGACCGAATTGGAAATTTCGGTTGTCCGATATAAATTCTGGTCGATCGGAGGGCTCTCTGGAAGTTTACTCAGAAACGGAACAACAGTCGGTCGACCGTACCGGTCGACCGAATTCTGATATACGTAAATTTCCAGGTTTTGGGGTTAGTTTGAAAATCCAGAAAAAAATATCAAATCAAGTCCAAAAATAATAAAACTTTGGGGAAAGTTTCTAAATGATAAAATAAACATGTTTAAAAAAGAATTTTTGGAAAATCAATTTTTGTTTGTGAAAACCACCCATTTTTGAAAACTGCTTAGAAAACCTGTATTTTTATGAAAGTAAAAATTGATATAGGACTTGTAAATATTCATATATATATTGTGCATATATTATATGTATATAATGAAGTATGAAAGAGCTGTAAACAAGAGATAAAGATATTTTAACACCGTTTAATGAAAAATCATCTATATGACAGAAAACGTCAAAAAAATGTGTTAAGTGTATATATTGAGCTTAGATATAATCATACAATATATGTAAGTAAACTAAACATATACCTAGGTAAATCCACGCAAATGAACTTGAATCTTTAACGCTTGATTAACGCGTGTTGAAATACCTGAAAAAAAGAACATAAACACAAAACACTAGAAAACTTATTAGTAATAAATTGTTTGTCAAATCATCATCAAAACTATAGGGTCAACAATCTCCCCCTTTTTGATGATGGCAAACAATTTATACATGAATATGAAATATATACTGATAATCCACATATAAGCCAAAACAAGAGTAACGACGAAGCTCGCATCTCGCCCGACGACGAAGCCCTATTCTCGCCCGACGACGAATCCCCAAATCCACACCGACGACGAAGCCCTAATCACCCGACGACGAAGCTCGCATCTCGCCCGACGACGAAGCCCTATTCTCGCCCGACGACGAAGCCCTAATCTCGCCGCGAGCT